ATTAGGATCATTTTGTATGATAACATTAGGATCAAGTTTCCCTTAGTGTTTTCTTTTCACCCTTTGAGTCTTTTTTCTCCGCATCTTAAAACAAATTCTAAGACACTTAATAAAGAAGACGAACATTGTGCGCCACGAGCCTTAAGCATATGGAGAATGATGAGTGAGGGGTCTCTCCTTACCTGTCTAGAGTGTTTAGTGTATGTCCCGTATGAGGGTGATATGCGACGCATTTGTTCTTATATCATAGTCTTTAGTGCAACATGAATCTCAAACCATTTAATTCACTTCTTTAAAACTCATAAACCAAATTCAAACATTTTTATCCTTCGAGATTATTCTTCAAACTCATTTTCAGAAAGGAGTATGTTACTTTTTCGTTCTACCACAAATAGGCATTGACCCCAACTACTGGAATCGGAGCTTAACGTCGCTCATAAAATACACTTAACCAACCTGTGGTTTTAGTTTCCTGAACTACGTTTGCTCTGATTTCTCATACCATATGAGGATACGTAGGCACAAAACGGCGATCTTTTGGCGAGCAACCTTCCCCCCCTCCCCTCATCCAAATATTTCCGAACTACGTTAACTATGACTTTCCCATTGCACGGGGGAATACGTAGGCATAGGGCGGCGATATCCTATTGAGTCTCCTTTTTCTTTTCCCTTTCTCGTTTTCGTTTAGTAGTAGCTTCTAGATAACTCACCCTTTGATTAGACAATAAGCATGGATCCCGTTGAGTACAATGGGCGTGAAGGGGATGCTAATACCTTTCCCTTACATAACCGACTCCAGAACCCAAGATTTGGTTGTGATGACCTTGTCTTTTCCTTTCTTCTAGGTTTTCTTCGATCTTTTCCTTTCCCTCCTTTGAGATAAATAATATTCGGTGGCGACTCTTCTGTTTGTTTCCGCTGTTTTTTTTTTGCAGTTGCGGCACAAGGCACCAAAACCACATTCAAATATTCACCAATCAAGTGTTAAAATATGTGAGAAAAATAGGATCAAGAAGGCACATCAAAGTCATCAAAATATCAAACCTTAATTCAAGGGTAAACATGTCAAACCACTCCACATTTTAATTCAAAATAAAATAAGAAAATAAATTGAAAAATAAAACAAAAATCATAAAAATATTCTCAAGACATCAAACTAACAGAAAAGTATTTTTGAGTATTTTTTAAAAATGTTTTAACAATTAAAAATAAAATTAAAATCAAATCTAGAAGAAAATAAAATAAAAATAGAATAAAAAGAAAAGAGGGGTGTATCAGCAATCATGGAATGAACTAGTTTCATGTTACAACACGCTACTGAACCTAAAGCTAAGGGTGTGAAAAACAAAAGAAGCAAAGCCCCATGATCGAAAAGTTCTCAGCAAACACCAAATAAATGAAACGCATCGTTTCATTAAAGGATGTGGCATACCACATCACTTTTCAACGCCTACGTGGGCAAGTCAAACGAACACATCACAATATAACTCAGTTGACAAGTCAAACCACCGGAACCCTACTTCGGTCATCTTCTCCGGCCAGCCTCGCCGGAAAAGCCTAAAAAATTCAATAAAAATCAAAACCTCTAGCACTAAATTGAAGATAAATCCATGAAGAACAAGAATATGGAAATGGATTTTCAAAAAGGATCCTGAATCAAGGTGAAATCATTGCACGGAAATTTGAAACTCAAACTGAAACTTTCATAAGTCAAAACACTACATGTTCAAACATTGCCTCATTCACTGGAGGACTTCAGATGCACCATTATGAGCTTAAACAATTTCCTAACATGAGAGATTAAAAAGTACAAAAATACTCAAATGGAGCTACTCCGTTGGTGCTTCAAACCTTGCTTGAGCTCCCAGAAAAGGTCACCAATGAACTTTTGAGCTTCTTCTGAGCAAGATGGGAGCAATAGATGAAACAAATCTCCAATGGAATGATCAATTCTAAGAGAGAGAAAGTGGAGCAAGCTTGAGCTATTCTGACCTTCTCTTGCAGTAAATGACCTCCCTATTTAATTATAGGGTTTGCATTGCTTTTATATGTGATGAATTGGGTGATTTTTGAAGCCCATAATAAAAGGAAAGTCTAATTTGAAAACTTGATAAAAAAAATTCACTTAAAATGGCCACACAGGTTTGGCAACCTCTTATCATCCTTTTGAGTCATCAATTAGCATAAAAGAGGGTGAGGAAATGAAATGTAATGGTTGTTGTGAATGAGAATGATAATGTGATGTGTTTTGAGTGAATTCCCTAAATGGTAATAAATTTGAATTTAAAATTATGATGGTATGTTGTTTAACCTATTTAGGTAAAATTTGGTGTTGTCATGAGATGATGATGATGTGGTACAAAAGAGAGACAAAAATGCTCATAATTGTGACTTGGAAAGCAAGAAAAATCCAAAACATGCCAGATAACCATGTATGCTTGTTCTTCATGCCCTAACTTGCATTATAAATCATCAAATGACATGGAATTTGAGGTCATGGTGTAGGAAAGACCTTGGGGCACAAGTTTCATGTTATAGGTGACTTGATTTGAAGATTTGAAGTTCATGAACTTTGACTTTGAACTGGATAACCAAGATTAAACCATCCAAGAATGACATTGACTAAACAGGACCATAACTTGAGTTCTACATATGAGAATGATTAGTTCTTGCACCTTTTGGAAAGCTTAGAGGATGAAGAATAACTCTTGTGTTTGAAGAAAATTTAGGAAAAGCTTGGATCCATATAGAATGTTTCTTAGAAGTTGGTTGCCTTTAAATCCTTTCAACTTTGAAACACCAACTTGAAGACATTATAACTTGAGATGTGTAAATCTAATGGAGGACTTTTTGTACTCAAAAGACAGCTTGGGGAACAAGGAATAAATCTCATGTTTGATAAAAAGTGAGATGGAGCTTGTATTACAATGAAATTTGTCATGGAAATTAGGTGCCAAAATAGGGGATTTTGAACTTAGAAACCTCTAAAACCTTAATTTGGCAACCTCTTGATTCTATGACCCCCTTTGATTCTTCTTGTTCCAAACACAAGAAGACACTTGAGAACACATAACATGTCTTTGATTGACCTTGAAATCCAAAACTTTGACCTCATGGGGCCACGGTTGACTTTTCTTGATCAGATGAAACCTTAGCACTCTATCCATTGATTGAAGCTTTTTTCATGACTTGTGATGATACATAATACATGTAGAGAACCCTTAAGGTGTGTATTGAGCCATGGAACCATGTCTTGCCCAAGAAATTAGCCACAGGTGCCTTTAGACCAAAACCTTAATCCAAGTTGTTCACAAGATAGAAGGAGGTGAGCAATGCTTGTAACCTTGATTCAAATGGTTGAGACATGCCTTGATGATGAGACGACCTTGGAGCTTAAGAAAACCACAAGGTTGAGAATAAACCCTTGTTTGACCTTTGAGAATGATACTCTTCCTCTTGAGAAACAAATCAAGATACCTTGATCCCCTGCCTGGAACCAATGATATGCACAAATGATGATGCAAATTAAATGAAACATAAGCCAAGAGATAAGAAAAAGATAAGGCAAATTTTGGGGTATACATTATTCAAGCTTTGTGCACACCAAAGATGCAATCTTCTCCCTAAAGACTTCCCTTAGAAATGTATCCTAAGGCATAACTTAATGGCATTCCTACTCTTATCCACCATCACAGTCTTCTTCGTTTGTGTTAGGCGTGAAGGCATAAATATCCTACCCTTCAATGCTTCAATACACTTCTCTTAAGTTATGATCACTTGCATCTTCACTTTCTACATTCTAAAGTCGTTGTCTCTGGAAAATTCACGATTCTGCTTTAGAACTCATGCTCCTCACTTGAAAAAAAAACCATTTACTCGATGGTTAGCACCACTTACTGTGAAAATAAATATAAATGATATTCAAGACACCAACACACCAAGACTTTGATGTGTGATATATAGAACAATGACAATCAAAGTAAAAGGTCTCGAGTAATCAAAATATCCTACAATCAATGTCAATAAATTCAACTCTTTATATATAAATCGCACAAAAACAATGTGTTTTAAAGTGCTTTTCAATCTCTTTAAATACTTTCGAAGATTTCTTAAATTCAATAAAATATAATCATTTAAATTTATATGTTATCTCTCTAAGTTTTTCACTAGGATTTCCAATTCTTCTCTCTATTTTCAATTATGAAAATTGTGAAACCAATAATAATATAGATTGAAAGTTGTGAAACTAAGAATAATTCAGATACATATGTTGAAACCTAACGTATTTTAAAGGTCCAAAACACAATCCATTAATAAATCTTGACGGACCTGACTTTCGGCTTGTCGAACCCGCCATGTGCAGCCACTTGGACATGCTACTCCGATGCTCTGTTGTCGCCACTGTCTGGACTCTAGTCGACGACTGCCACACCACCATAAACTCCGCCATGGAAGGCCAAACCACCAAACTTGGACTCTTGGAGGCGACTGGCAGACTGCTACCACAGGCGGTTTCCGTCAACTGTTCTACTACTTCTCAGCTTTCTGATATTTGGAAGTCTCAAAATATGTTTTGTTTATGTTCATCATTTAAGGTTTTAAAACATATTTCTACAACGATCCTATAATCTACATGAGTCTTTCTATAATCTACATGAGTCTATAAAACTCTAAACTTAATTAATACTCTATAATTTATTGCAGATAATTGAATTTTATTGCCATGTTCCATGTTACTACTATTAGTGTCAATAATTATAGAGGATGAAGATCTTTAGAACATTGAAACATGCTTGCTTCTTTATAACAACTATTGAACATATTTTGTTTAAAAAAAACAAAATAGATTTTGATTTTGATTTCTTATAAGAACATAGAGCAATATGCATGATATAAAGAGAATAACACAAATTAAATTTCTAATACAACAAATCAGACTTGTGTCTTTCCCTCCTTGCATTACATAAAAGGGAAAAGAAAAGAAAAACATTAACATCATTCTATTTGTCAACTTGGTTAAGCTTTCCCAAACCATCGCAACGAGCACAAACAATCTGAGTTTGATCCTTTCTTGCTGCATTTGCTCTCAATGTCACTCCACTTTTCCTAACAAACCCTGCTCCATCACATTCAGGGCATCTACCACACAAAACAAGCACATAGTGTATTCATATTTACATGTTTAAACCATCTCAAACCAGAATCAATGAAACAAAAAACATATCTTGAAGCAAAAATCTAGAACAGAAGATGAAAATGAAGTAATGATGATGGTACTTACGTGTCTTTACGAGAGAAGATTATGGGAAATGCAGTTCCAAGGAGAGCAATTCCTATAGCACCGGTAACAAGAAAAATGGTGCTATCAGAAGATACATCACCAACTGCTGAAACAACAATAGATGAGGATCTGTTCTTGTGATTATTATGAATCTTGTTACATGATAAACTTGTTGTGCCTCCAAATGAGAGTTTATGGTTGTTGGAAATTGTAACAGTGGGAAGGATGGTTTGCAAAGGAATCATGGATGTCATGTTTTTGTCAGAACTAAGAATAATGAAGAATTGTGTTTTTTAAAGTTATTATCAGATTAGAAGATTGGATATAAGCATGACACGTAGGTTGATTTTGTTAATAGATGATGGTTTGAAATTATTTGGATAAGGCTATGTCATATATCTCATGATTTCATATAGTTGTGGATAAGACAGGGTGTATAAACTCTGATTTTATTGAGCAAAGGATTTCAACCATGTGAAAAAATGAAGCAAGATATGAATGGTGTTTATAAAGGTTGCTTCTCACTTTCTTTCATAGTCAAAAACTCGAAGAGGTTACTTTTTTTCAAAGAAAAAAAATGCTATGGCGTTTTAAAAAAAAAAAGTTATTCATTTTATACAGAATTATATAGCTCGAAATAAATAAATTCAAACAGGGTCCACTTTTGAAAATAATGGTCTGAAAAAAAAAATCAAAAATAGTTGTAGTTTGAAATTCTCCAGCAAGTAACCCAGCTGAAAAAACTTGGGCCAAAGATGTTGACCCATAAGTGATACCTGATTTGTTGTTTTTTATTTTATGTTTATCTTTCACCAAGTATTTTTATTTTATTTTATTTATCTAATAAAATATGATTAAATACAATAGTAAAAATATTTACATTGATACAAACACATATACTTCTACGAGCATTTCCAATGATACTATTTATTTTTGAGTTTTTTTTAAATATATTAAATCATATCATCTTAAAATAATTCTTTTAATATTAATTTCAATTATGCAAACTTTATCTTATATATTAATATTTTATTTATTTACAATTTTATTTTAACTTTAAATGGCTTGCAACTTAAATTTTTTTTAACGTTTTTGCCTCTTGCATGGTGATGCACGTGCTCCATGTTGGCCAAAGGCCCGAGGCACACTCCTCAGTGCCGACCAATGTTCTAATAATACGCGATCCATGTATTCAACCCACTTCATCAAACGTAAGGTATAAATATTTTCACAAAGGGTTTTCAGGTACACAATCTCTAACCTCCACTCCCATTACGGTTATCTTGAACTCTAAATGGACTTAGGCGTTGGAGGGCTAATCATGCAGGTACTCCCCTCTGATCTTCCGTATCAGAGGTTAGCAATGTTGATTCAAGATCTACATTGATTATTAACATTAGTTCAAAATTATCGTCATCGATTAAAGAAGTAACGTGATCGCAAACTTTGATCCACGATGTCGTTCTACCAAATCGTTGGGAAGTTTCACTCTTTCGTGGTTTTCACGATCCTTTCCATTTTCTGGTTATCGACTTTAGATTCCCACAATTTTCCGAAACGGAACATTGGCGTTATCTGTGGAATCGACTTTAGATTCCCACAATTTTCATGATTTGAAATTCGTTCATCGATTCTTCTATCTGAAACCTTCTCTAGTAAACAGGTTAACTTCTGATCCTAACTTGTTCGACGATTTCGAGTTTAAATCTGCATTTTTTAATTAAAAGATATATACAATAGAAGAATCGAAGCCTTACTCAGTCACACTTGTAGATCCAATGTGTTTCAATCGGTTAAACCTAAGTTCAAACTCTAGTTAACAAAAGACCTCCACATCTCACTACCGTAGGGAGCTCGTAAATGGAGTTTTCCTGATTTGAACTCAAGTCTACAATGTTCGGACTCACCTGTCTCCATTTCAAGCTTGATAAGCTAGGTACCCCCTGTTTTTATCGCTTTTGGAGTCTGTAGAAAGATCTATTTAGATTTACGTTAGACCTGATCTCCTAGGTACACTAAAAGTAATCACCTCTGAAGAGCCCTTACACCGGTCTCAAAAAAGCTTATATGTAAAAGGTGTCATAGTTGCCTTGGGATAGGCATCTCATAATCGTAATTGCCTTCTGTCAGGGATTTCACCATCGTAGCAACCAAATCCTGGCTTGTTCTGATTATTCACTGACTAGGATTATTCCCGCAGAGCTAGGGTTAGGAAGTTACACAGCGACTGGCATCGAAGGAAGGCCACTCCGTGGGGTATACGGTTGGCACCCTCAGGGGGTAGCTCAGGGGATAAAATCACCTACTAAGGATTGTTCATCGACCATGTCCTCTTTCCAACTCCCTGACTTTTTTCCAAAGGAAAGACTGCAAGGACAGACGGGGTGTCAGCTAAGGGAAAATACAACTAACGTGCAATGGGCATCCCGAGCATAATTGAAGGTCCAAGAAACACAAGAAAATGGGGTTTGAACTGGGTTTCTAGATTTAAAAGCTTTTGCAACCCAATTTAAGAAATAACAAAGATAATGATAAAGATAAGAACACAAATATTTTTATCCTGGTTCGTTGTTAACGAAGCTACATTCAGGCCACCCGCCTAAGTGATGTCGCCTTCTGATCAGTGCATATTTATGCACATTCTCCTACATTTTTACTTAGGCATTTCTTTATTTTATTTTGTTTATTATTATATTTTATTATGTTTTCTTATTTTATTTTATTTTTGGTTTAATTTAATTATCGCAACTATTTTTCAGCTTTAGCAGTCTGCGCGGAAACGATCATAATTGGAGTTCCGGGAATCCGTTTGAGGCGATCTAAAAATCGCCGGAAAGCTAAGAGAGAGAGCTACAACTTTCGTGTTGGAGTCGAAGTCAGATTCGGAGCTCAAAATTCCAGAATTTCGTTTCAAGTTACAGCATTAGAATTCTGTTTTAGTTTTGATCTTGTTTTGGGCCTGGGTTATGTTTTTGACCCAGTTGGGTTATGAACTGAATCCATTTTTTTATTTTGAGGGGAAACCTCGTTTACAATATCCTATTCACTATTCACGAAAATATTTGTTGGAGCTTTGTATGAATTATGGAGAACTAATTCCTTCGGATTAATCTGCTGTAATCGGTTCCCGCTAACACTTTGAGGTTCTTTTAATTTCCAATAAAATCTATTTCCTTTCAATTCTTCTCTATGATATTTTGTTTGCTTAATTTGATTTATCTTAGGGATGATTGATTTATTTCGATGATTGCATGTTCTTATACTTTAATCGCGGTTGCTTAATCCGCGTATGTTTCTCGTGTTTGCTTAATTCACGGTTACTATTTTATCTGTTTGCTTAATTCAGAAATTAGGAACGTGTATCGTATAATATCAATTACGCTTGTTGATTGTTATTATAATCGGAAAGGGGATAGAATCTACTTAGGAATTGGGAATTATTAGGATCGATGATAAGTTGGGAAACGAAAACAGTAGATTAGCCGTTTCAACTCATTACTACAATCACTTTTTCTGAATCACTTATTTTTAGTTTATTTTATCTTAATCAAAACCCCCATCTTTCGTTACTGTATTTGATTATTCCTGCAAGAATCCTTGTGAGACGATATTCCGAGTCACTGTCGCTGTACTGCATTTTCCTAAAATTACTTGTTTTTGATCCGCAAGCGACCGCGGATCAAATTGGCGCCGTTGTCGGGGATTCTTGTCGTTATTAATCAATTTTAGAGTCATAGGGTTAGTTAGTATCCTCGAGTCTAGACCTTAATTTCCTCGCGGTTTCGTCCAAATCGCGTCTGACAGTCCAAATCGTAAAAAAAAAATATCTTTTTGGAAAAATTGTGTCCGATCATAAAACTGTTTTGCCTACTAGAAGCAGAAAAATCGTTCGGTCATTAGTCCATGTATTCCAAAAGAATACTTGGAATCCACCCTCAGAATCGCCAAAAAATCCTTTTTTCTATTTTGAAAGAATTTTTTACTGTTTTCATAGAGTCTAAAAAAATCGAAAAAATTCTCATAATTGTTATTTTTCTTAATTAGTTTAATTCTGGTATTATTTTATTTTTTTGAAATTAAATTAATTGTTTTCCATCATTGTGTTTGAGTCCGAGTCTGAGTCTGACTATCTGCATAACTTGTTTGCTTCGGATACTGAACTTGATTTTGAAATGGCTGATAATAGAACCTTAAGACAATTAGTTGCCCCTGATGTAAATTATAATAGCTTGTGTATTGAATATGATGATGTTGTTGTTCCTTTCGAATCAGAATCTGGTTTAATACACTTGTTGTCAAGGTTTAATGGACTTGCAGGTGAGGATCTGAAAAAGCATATGAATGAATTCCAAATTGTGTGCTATACACCTTCTAAACCTTCACTAGAGGACCTTGTCAAGCAAATGGCTATAAATGATCTTCAGTTTCAACAAAAAACAGATTCAAGTCTTTAAGCTTTGCAGACACAAATTGAACAGCTTGCCACTATAGTGAATGTCATGCAGCAAGCTCAAGATTCAAACCAACCATCTGCTGAAACAGTAGTGAATCCAAAAGAGTTTCCTTCTAATTTAGTTGATGATACTTATTCTGAATTGTGTTTTGATTTTCCATCATTAGCAGATTTTGATGATACTTACTCTTGTGATTCATGTACCGACACTAACATTTGCTCTGTTTGTGCTAAGATTAATGCTGCCGTACAGGGTGATGTTTTTCATGCATATGAAGTTATTTATGTAGCTAAAACTCTTAACATCACGGCTTCCCCAACCTCACCATCCATTGAACAACCACCCTCCTTGGAGCTTAAACCAATTCATACCAATCTGAATTATGCTTATTCAGATATGGATAAAAAGCTTTCAGTTATAATTTCTTCTAACCTTGATTTTGATGAAGATAATAAACCTTTACAGGTTTTGAAGAAACATAAGAAGAGAATTGGATGGACCTCGATGGAAGTGGGAAGAAAAGTAGTGAAGCAACCCCTTAACCCATTGATCTCTGATGTTGTGGAAAAGGATATCAAATTCACGTGCCCATTCGACACTTTTATTTATCGAAGATTCTTATTTGATCTTGGAATAAAAGGTGAAGGCACTAATACAAATTTCAAGGGCGATGGATGTTATCCAAAGTTACTCCCCACTTTGGAAGAGGAGACTTCAGGAAATCTCTCTTTGGGAAAGGATGCATATGTGATCACTTATCCACCTTGACCCGTCGGGTGTGTTCTTTCCTTTCCCTCACT